GTATTCATTTCTACATGGGCTTTTGGCTGGAGGCCACCCTCAGTTCCTTGCGTTATGGGTCTCACCATAGGGCAGCTCACAGCATAGCAGCTTGCTTTATAAGAGCAAGTGAGCAAGAAGGCAAGTCAGAGTGCTGTTAAGACCAAGTCAGTCTTTTATCCTCTAACCTTAGAGTGGCATCCCATCACTGTTGCTGCATTCTATTTGTTAAAAGCTAGTCACTAGGTCCATACTACACACAGGGAGGGGATTACATGAGGGAGTGAATATTAGGAGGCAGAGATCATTGGGGACTTTTTTAGAAGCAGTCAACTATCTCAGTATGGCTTCAGATATACTGAGGAAATGCCCTATTGTACTTAAGAGTACAGGCTTTGAAGACAGAGGAGATTGAGTCCCAGATCTGTTATTTATTAACATGTAACTGAATAAGTCAGTCAGCCTCTGTAGGTTTCCATTGCCTAATCTCTAGAAGTCATGCATACTCCACAGAGTTAGAGGAATGATTAAATAACACATCAGGCCAGCATGGTGGCTCATGCCTGTAATCCTAGCAATTTGGGAGGCTGAGGTGGGTGGGTCACCTGAGGTCAGGGGTTCAAGACCAGCCTGGCCAACATGGCAAAATCCTGTTTCTACTAAAGGAAAAAAAAGTACACAAAAAAATGAGCTAGTCATGGTGGCATGTGCCTGTAATCCCAGCTACTCAGGAGGCTGTCAGGAGAATCACTTGAGCCCAGGAGGCAGAGGTTGCAGTGAGCCAAGATTGCACCACTGCACTCCAGCCTGGGCAACAGAGTGAGTCTCTGTTTCAAAAAATAAATAAATAAATAAGACATTAAAGTGAAGCACTTAGTACAGAATGTGGCACATATTAAGTACTCAATTAATGTTGTCAATTATTATAGATATGAGATCAGACAAGTGATGGGGCAATCAATGTTTTTTTTTTATTGCATATCACTCCTTTATTATACTGATCTGGAAAAAAATATTTAGTATATTATACTCAAAATGAATACTGGGCCCATGTGGCAGGGCCAAGCAACTAGAACATGATTCAGATTTTCACTTCAAATAAGACAGTGAAAAACACACTTGGACATGATCAAGGGGCATTTCTCTGCCACAAAACAAGATGGGGAAAGCATTCTAAAACACACAGCGGATGCATTTCTACCCCTTAGAAGTCAAGGAGCTTATCCCATATTTGTGTGAAGAATGGCTTGCTTTCTGATGATTTTGTGTGGGCCTATTTCACCTACCACCAGAAACCCCAGAAGGGCTTTTGTTTTGTATCATTTATATATATATATATATGTGTGTATATATATATATATATATATATATATACACACACATATATATATATATAAATAGAGGGAGAGAGAGAATGTAGCACATAAATTTAATTTAGGATTGATCTCAACCTTCTGGGGTCAGGAAAAAAGAAATAGTTATGATTTTTACATCACCATGCAGGTTACATTTATCTTCCACTAAAATGACTAAAGCCCCCTAAGGCAGTGGCCCGACTACAGGAGAGCACAGGACTGGCTCCTGGGGGGCAATAGGCTCTCTTGCTTCTCTTCACTGGTCATGCCTTAGCATGGTTCCCTCCCTAACTCCTGCTCAAGCAGGTTCTTAGTAAACAAAGCACTAACGAAAGCCTGAGTTACTGCCTCAACTATCCTGAATAAGAAGAGTCTTCCCTCAGCTTGGACTGAGAACCCAGGCCCCAGAGGTGTCATTCTGACTAGACTGATGAAGGAAGTAGGTGCAGGGACAAAATGGTTAAAATAAAAATGGGAGGCACCGGTCCCATCTGCATCTACAACTTGTGATGCCCAAAGATGTATTCAGCATGGCACCCGCAGTGGGCTGGGCAGGGAGGGTGTTCCTGGGGTTAGTAGACTGCCTGCTGGCCTTCACTTCTTGGCCTAGCCCTGGCAGCCATAGCTTCCTTAGCTTTACCTGTGGAAGTGAATCCCCCAAGAACTGCATGGGGCTTAATGGGCTTCAAGATCTTGTCCAATACTTAGACAATGGGAATACCAGTCAACAGGTTCAGCTCCATCATGGCCTCTTCAGAGAGACTCTCCAAATGCTTGACAAAGGGCCATCAATATTTAGAAATAATTCTTTTTAAAAAAAAATTTTTTTTTTGAGATAGAGTCTCTGTTTCCCAGGCTGGAGTGCAGTGGCATGATCTTGGCTCACTGTAACCTCCACCTCCCATGTTCAAGCGATTCTCATGCCTCAGCCTCCAGAGTAGCTAGGAGTACAGGTGCCCACAACCATGCCCAGCTAATTTTTGTATTTTTAGTAGAGACGGGTTTTCACCATGTTGTTGGTCAGGCTGGTTTCAAACTCCTGACCTCAGGAGATCTGCCTGCATCAGCCTCCTAAAGTGCTGGGATTACAGGCATGAACCACCATAGTCGGCCTAGAAAGGATTCTTATGTGAAAAACCCAAGACCTGGAATGATGTGGACGATCTCAATATGAGCTCCGACAGCAGTCACATCAACATTCACCATTAGATCTGTGGATTTTACTTCCAAAATATACCTTCAATTTACAGCTTTCTTCCTCTTTCCTCAGACACATTCTGTCACCTGCATGATAGCAATGCCCTCCTAACTGGTCTCCCTATTTCCTCTCCTTAAGGACATCCACTGAAGCCTTCCTATGGCAACCAAGGTGATCTTTATGATATTTTAAAAGACCAAAGCACTCTCCAGATTTAACACCTTTCAGTGACTTGATACTTTACATGAAATTCACATATTTTAATCTGGGCTACATGGCTCTATCTTTCCAACCTCGTCTTCTCCCAGTTCACCTTCCCCTTTATACTGAGCCACACTGGTTTTTCTTTGGGCCTTTGAACTTGACAAGATCTTGCCTGCCTTGGGGCATTTGCACATTCTGTTTTCTCTGCCTGAAACCCTATTCCTCAGACACTTCATCTAGCTGACTCCAGTCGTTCTTCGGGTCACAGTACCTGTCACTCAGTAGGGACTTCCGTCAGCTTCCTTGTTCCACTCAAATGAGGCTTCACCATCATTGCTTGTAGTATCTTGCGCACTCTCTCTTTCACAGTTTCTAACCATATTTTGTGGGAATTATATGTTTATTTTCTGTCTGTTCTGAACAAACCGAGACTGTGTGTTTTATTCACCACATTATATGTAAGTCTAACATAATATCTGACACATACTAGGTAGGAAATAAAGGAGAAAGGGGAGAAACCTCAAAACTGGAATTACAGCATACCCTAATACTGCATGGCTCTCCTTACTGATAACACCTCACCCTACTTTCAACACTCTATCCTCTGTTAAAAGAGGCACCTGGCCAGGTGTGGTGGCTCATGCTTGTAATTATAGCACTTTGGGAGGCCAAGGCGGGTGGATCACCTAAGGTCAGGAGTTTGAGACCAGCCTGATCAACATGATAAAACCTTGCCTCTACTAAAAATACAAAAATTAGCTGGGTATGGTGGTGGGCACCTATAATCCCAGCTACTCGGGAAGCTGAGGCAGAAGAATCGCTTGAACCTAGGAGGTGGAGGTTGCAGTGAGCTAGATCATGCCATTGCACTCCAGCCTGGGCAACAAGAGCAAAACTCCATCCCAGAAAAAAAAAAAAAAAAAAAAAAAAGAGGCATCTACACTTTCTCTGTTTCAGGAATATCTATATCCATTAGGGAACAGCTTTCTCTCTATTTCATTTCACTTTAAGAGAGTTTTTGATATTTTTTTAAGTTAGCACTTAAAGACTCAGCATAGTCTTACTATTTTATACTTTCTTTACATCTGAAATAATAATATTGACAAATTTTTTATGGAGCTATATTTCCTCTGTAAGCAATACTTAGAGAGGAAATGATGTATTATTGGGAAATTGTTTCAAATAATTTGGGATATTGGTGGGAGCTACAGGTTTAGATGAAGCAAGATTGATAATTTTTGGAGCTAAGTGATGACACAAAAATGTTTGTTATACCATTCTAATTTGTTTGACATTTTTAATAAAAAAAATGTGAAAGGATCCTTACAATGTAATTTTAAAACCTCCCAGATCCTATATACCTGTTTGGTTTCTCCTAACTCCACCTTAGATTCTTACCATACTGGACTTAGGACCGTAGTGACTGACAGTGTGGTTTGGTCCACACTGTGTGAGTTCAAATCCTGGCTCCACTGCTTCTAGCACACATAATTGGTATATCCTGAAAGAGGCAGAATGACCTTTCTGTGACTTGGCTTCCTTTTCTATAAAGTGGAAATAAAAAGAAATCTCAAACTATTATGAAGATACAACGAAATAAGGAATGTAAAATGTAGTCTGGCATGTGATATGTGCTCATTTATGCTAATAATGACAATCATTTAGAAATTAATCCAACTGATAATTTACTGAGTACCTACTCTAATGGGACACGGCTCTAAAGGTAACCATTCTTACCCCTAGATTTGACTATTAGCTATAAATACACAGAAATCTGAACAAGAGGGGAAATTTCCAGAAACTCAAGAGTTGAAATTTGGTTCTTGAAGGACATAAGACCCTATGGGCAGAAGATATACTTTGAGGATATCCTCTTCATGATGGATAAGAACATAATTGCCTGGTTAAGTTAAAACAAAACAGAATAAAACAATTAAAAACCTATGTACTGGGAACGCTTATCCATTCAGTAAGGACAAACCCAGGAGAATTTTTATCTCAAATTCAAAACCTCAGGAGGACAAGATTCATGATTTGATATGCATTTCTTTTTCGGGTTGCACCTGAGGGAAATGCCCTCATCCTAGTCACCTGTCTTGTACTGCCCATTTAGCCCATAGCTACCATGGCCTTAGGAAGACCAGAAGCAGGGCAGGCAGGGAGTTTTTTCTGAAAATAAAGTTTCTTTGACATTGTGAGTGCCCCCTTCTCTATCTGCAGCTGCCTGGTCCTGTCCCTGCCTACAAATTCTCCCCAGTCTCTACCTCTAGTCAGGGGCCTCAGACCCCCTGATGTTGGAGCCCTGGTGTGAGATCTTCATTTCCTTGTCTTCTGCTCCTGCTCATCCAAGGCTCAGGCCCGGCTGCCCTCCTGGCTCGGCGCTGTCCACCTCTCTACTCTCTGGGTCCACAGTTTCATGAACCTGATGCCACCTCATGCATTGGTGCTGTCAAGAGAAAGAAAGAAAAAAAATTATGACCTTGGAGATTAAGATTCTTAGCAGCAGACTTATTGAGAGTTGTACAGACAAGAAAGGGAGAAAATAAGTTAAAGAAAAAACTTTTTAAAGAGTATATAAATGCCTTAAAATGTGGAAGTTTTGTTTAGGAAAATAATCCTAAGGAATTCTTTTAGAATTATTTCAGAATGTTTATGAGAGAGATTTAGAAATACAAACACTTTTATATAAGTCTCTGTTATCTAATTCAGGGTAAACACAGACTGACTGCTTTTCTTAGGAAATCCAGCCTCCTCTCACCTAAGCATGTGGCATCTGACAAAATATGTTGACCACCAACATCTTAAAATTTATTTTCTCATTTTTGTATATTTTTCAAGATCTAAATTAAAGGTTTTTTTTTCTTTCTTTTTCATTTCTTAAGTCATCAGCTGGAGAGAAAAGGAGGATCATCCTATGGTACCTACCAATGATATCTGTAGCAGTCACAGGAGATAATTTGAAACTCAGTTTGGCTGATGTGATCTTGTAAAAATTGCTATGGATTTTATTAAATAAGTGATGCACTCTAATGATATTTTCTAGTTTTGGTGGAGTTGGAAGAATACGCACTTTTTGAATCTTGGGGGGAATTCAGCAGAATTCTGTTATTGACGTGCTCAGTAACTACTCATCCTCCCATGTTGATTTCCTGTAGATGTCACCATAGCAGCCACGTGGGCATTTCCTACTCTCCTTAACACTTCCAAGCCTCCCTAACCTACCCACTCTCTGTCACTAATATCACTTCCTCTTCTTTTTGAGACAATCAGAGCCATAGAATGTGAGCTTTTGCTTTCTCAGCTTTCCCTCTCTCCATGGTGATTCTCCACGTCTGCATAATGAAGATTCACATGTGTGTTGGTGGAGGCAACCAGTAGGTTTGCAAAAAATACTAGCAGTAGCATTCTCCAGTAGGAGAAATTTAAGGGATTGCTGCTTGCTCCTTAAAAATTCTATCCATTGCAAATTGTCAGAAAAGACAGTCGATAATATTTTGATCAGAAAAAAAAAACTATAGTTTGCAAATAACCTAAAGAAATTTTTTTTCCCTTTAGCACTTTTTCTCTTGTACCTTTCCTAGCACCTCTTTCATTCCTTAAAAGAAAGCCAGTCTCAATTTCAGAGTAATAGAGGGGAAACAGATTCATTTTGTAGACCTCAAAAGAAACAGTTTTTCCTTCTTAGCCCAGTTCCCAAGGGCCCAATTTCTGTCTGTTTGCAAGACTCCATTTCTATCCCTCACACCTTGGTCTTGTTCCCGGTCCCTTTTCAGACGCTCCCTCATTCAGCGCCTAATCTTACCCAATCCCTCACCCTTTCCTCTCCTCTCTTAGCATTTCTTTTGTCTTACAGAATTCTAGATCCATGATCAGCAAACTCCCCTGTAACTTCAAATTCCTGAATGTACCTTGTACTTCTGCTTACAACTGAAACCAGTCTGTTCCCTGAGGATATGGCTCCCTTAGAGCCTTCATGCACTCCATCAATCTCAGGCTAGAAGTAAAGGGTAGAATGTTCATTTCCCTATCCAAGCCATTTCTCTTCCTTCAAAGCCCCAGATCTTCTGAGTTTCCTAACTTCTTATTTGCTATATTTTCATCCCTTGTTTAGTTGTCATCTACTGACTCCCTTCCCAGACTCCTCTCTTTGAAGAGTTTTGCTCACTGTCTTCCTCTCCACCCCTGCAGTTGAGACCATTCTCAGTGACTTTTGACATCACGAGATGTCAAACATCCCAGTCTCTCTGCTCTTGGCCCCCTCAACTTCAGGCAGCTTTTCCTTCCTCCTGCCCCAGCCACCCACACCTATACTCAGAGCCTAGTCATCCTAATCACAGCTAACAGCACTCCTCTTAAATCACACTTATGATAAGCTGTCTTTTCTTTTTTCAAAAGACAGGGTCTCACTATGTTTCCCAGGCTGGATTCGAAGTCCTGGGCTCAAGCAGTCCTCCTGCCTCAGCCTTCCAAAGCACTGGGATTATAGGCATGAGACACCATACCTGGCTAGTAAGCTGCCTTTTATATACAAACTCCTGTCTTTCCAGCCACCTTGTTCCTCTATAGATACTATAATAACTCTTTGACCCCCTCGACATGTTTAAGTGACCACTTTCTTTTTAAAACTAAATTACATGTCTTTTACTTATTTTTATTGATATATAATTGTTGTACATATTTTGGGGGTACATGTAATATTCAGATTCCTGTATACATTGTGGAATGATCAAATCAGGGTAACTGGGATATTAATCACCTCAAAGATTTATCTTTTACCTGTGTTGGGAACATTACAAATCTTTTCTTCTAGCGATTTTGACATATACAATTAGTTATGTTTAACTGTAATTTCCCTGTTGTACTATCATTTATTTATTTTTTTCTTTTTTTGAGGCAGAGTCTTGCTCTGTTGCCCAGGCTGGAGTGCAGTGGCACAATCTCAGCTCACAGCCCTCCACATCCCAAGCTCAAACAATTCTCCTGACTCAGGCTCCCTAATAGCTGGGATTACAAGCGTGCACCACCACACCCGGCTAATTTTTGTATTAGTGGAGATGGGGCTTCACGATGTTGGCCAGGCTGGTCCTCAACTCCTGACCTCAAGTCACCCACCTGCCTCGGCCTTCCAAAGTGTTGGGATTACAGGCATGAATCAGTGCGCCTGACCTGAAATCACTCTTTCACAAGTCTCTCTTCCCACACTTTCTTATTTCCTCACTTCAGTGCTGACGTTTCCTTGCTGTCAGTTGATGGAACAGAATTAAGACCTCTCTCTTATTCCTACTACCGAATAGAAAAACCTACCTATTTTTCAGATTGTACTATGTTACTTCTTCCTCTTGTTACTGCCCCCTTCTTGTGTCTTGAATACCATCTCCTCTCTCCTCAGGACTTCATTCATTTGATTATTTCCTCTCTCCAGTATCATCCATTTCTCCCTTTCTATTGGCTCATCTGATCAGTACAACAGATAGGCTGTGCCGTGTACTACATAAAACAGCAACACCCTTTCTTTGCCTCACATTTCCCACTGGCTTTGTCCTTATTTCTCTTTTGCTTTTCACTGCAAGATGCTCCCTAACTGGTTCTATACTTTGTTTTCACTTCTTCACTCCCATCCTCTCTTCCAATAACTTCGGCCTGGCTTCTGCTCCCACCATTCCACTGAAATGCCCCTCTCAAGGTCACTAATAACTCCCAGGTGGCCAAATAAAATGGATACTTTTTTGTCCTCATTCTGACCTTTTAGCAATTTTTGACAAACTTGATAACTGTTTCTAGAAACACTTCCCCACTCTAGGGATTCCCTTCTACTCCCTCAGAATGCTTTGCTGGTTCCTCCTTTTCTTCCACCCCAAATACTGGAGGACTCCATTGCTCCCTCCTTTTCCCTTGTTTCATCTATAAGCAACCTCCCTCCCTCCACAAGCAACCTCCTCCTCCTCCATGGCTTTGAGCGTCACCTCTACACTGGTTACTCTCAAACCTAATCTCAGGCGCTCTCCTCTTTCCCCTGAGCTCCAGACTCATTCATCCAACTGCCTATATATCTCCACTTCAATGTCTAGTGTGCATCTAGAAATGGAATTGTCCAAAGCATCCCCTACCCCTCAAAACTGTCTTCCAGTCTTCACAGTTTGGATAATGGAACCACTATGTACCTAGATTCCCAACCAAAAATCTAAGTGGTATTTTGCTTTATCTTATTCCCTCCTTCTTACTCAACATATTAGAATATATCTAGAATATGCCCATTTCTTTTGTTTGTTTGTGAGACAGTCTTACTCTGTTGCCCAGGTTAGAGTGTAGCTACCTGATCTCAGCTGCCTGCAACCTCCATCTTCTGGGTTCAAGCAATTCTTGTGCCTCAGCCTCCTGGGTAACTGGGCACATGCTGCCATGCCTGGCTAATTTTGGTATTTTTAGAAGAGATGGGTTTTCGCCATGTTGGCCAGGCTGATCTCGAACTCCTGGCCTCATGTGATCTACCTGCCACAGCCTCCCAATGTGCTGGGATCATAGGTGTGAACCACCATGCCTGGCCCCATGTCTCATCCTATCTGCAGTTGCCACTCTCTTCAGGACACTTCGAATATTCCCTTGAACAGGTTTAGCTTTCACTCCTGCCTCTCTTCAATCTGTTTTGCAGGAAGCAGCCAGGAAGAGTGATCTGTTTAAATGCAAATTGGATCTTGTAGCACATACTTTACTGGCATCCCGTTATACATACAATATACTCCAAATCTCCTTACCTCCTACTCCTCTCTCGGGCCCCAGCCCAGATGTCACTTTCTCCAGATCTCCTGTTCTTTGACTGCGCCCACAAGTCTGAATCATCGGCCTTTCCAGAGCCATGGAGCAGTCTGCTCTTCCCTCACAGCTCTCCCCTACAGTGCTTCCCCTGCAACTCTATCCCACTATGTTCCCTTGTTGTCTGCCTCTCTTATTATGCTAGAAATTTTTGTAGAGCAGAGACTACGCCTATGATATTATTATTATATCCCAGGAACTGAGCACAGTGTCTAGAAGATAAATAATTATAAATAGATGAATGACCCTCCCTACCATGTAACTCTCCCCTATATCCACCACAGTTCACACCTTACGTCACTCGGGTAGAGCTTTCTCACTATGTGTAATTGATAAAGAATCTTGTTACTGATTTGAGTGAATTTTTTAGTCAATACAGATTTATTGACCTTTATTTGATGAACATAAGGCAAATAAAATAAGCAAGAAATTTTTGCAGTCTCTGGAAGATTCAGATATATGAAAGTGCTCTGTGAGTGTATTTTCTCCCGTTCCAGCTGCCAGAATTACATGTGGAATGGTGACAGATATTCAGGACCTTCAGCCTTCTATTTTAATTACACAAAGATCTATCCCAAGGGCCTAACTTCAGGTAAGATAATCAGTGGAAAAAAAAAATTATAGCCACAATTAGGT